AAGTTTAAATTGAATGACTTTAATGAAAAAGACATGTGTGTAACTATCAATTAAAAACACATTTTCGTTACACATTGAATACATGCAAGTGTTTACATCTTAAGAATTTTCACTTTTTTTTAGAAATTAATTTTAATGTAAATTTTTAAATGTCACGATAGTTAATAATATATATGGATGTAAAAATATCAGATGTAATAATATCATTATTAATTCATAATAATAACATACCATATGACATTTTACAACCTGAACTAATTTTTCCGTTTCATAGGCAAATTATCTGATAATATTAATGATAAACAGTCATCATTAATATACCATCACAGTCAGTCTTCAGGGCTCCTCTGTTTGATTTCATTTCCTTATTTTTTCTGAATGCTTCTGTCTTTGTCACACCACATGATTTTGTTCTTTGCTTCACATTTGAATGTGTTTTTGAATAAATAGATCCAGATTAAAATGATCGTATGGGTTGTGCTTTATTTTTAAAGAATCACTCAAAAACAGCCGAATTTGAAATAATGCTCGGCCGACTCCTGGGGAAACGGAAGCCTCCTTATCGGACTGCTGCTGAATTGGTGTCAGATGTTTGGACTCTCTTTGACATCTTGATGATGAACTCTGAGGCAAATCACTCATCACATTCATGTGTAATTTAACTGCTAAGCTTCTTCTTTGAAGGACTACAAATTCATACCTAATTATAATTTAATTGAATGTTCCATAATAATGACATGCTTTTTTTATTTCTATAGAGGACAAACATGGTCGTCCAACTTCAAAAATCTTTCCAGCAACAGCTGAATGAATCTTTTGGGGAGAGTCTCCATGCTTCTCTCTTGAAACAGTCCAGCAGCAAGGATCCAGAGACTGAACGAGAGAAGCACAGAAACACTTTGAAACGCATGAGAGAGTTTGTCATGGCAAACTCCGGTACAGCTGCAAAGAAATCCTGCACTGATAAAGGGAAGGAGGGAGATGGCTGTGGAAACACTACAGCTGCTGAACACTGAAGTGCATCAGTCATTGCTTTCGCAAAAATACTTTTGTATTCTCTTGTGAAGAGGGAACCAGATCACTTTCTGTTTATTGTAGTAGTTTGTTTATTTAGCTTTGCCTTTAAGTAAGATGTGTATTAAACAGATTATTTCATTCAAGCTCACAATTTCTTTCTGTGGTCACTTGATGCCTTGATCTGCCACGATCGATTTATGCGTGTGGGTTGCAAATTATTAGCATTATTGCATATTATGTAGCTGTGATGCCAGCAGAGGGCGCGAGGATCCATTGGTCGCTTGACTTTCAGTGGTGCTTTTAAGGCAATCATCAGCCTTATTTGTCCCGCCCCGCAGCAGTTGTGCTGCAATAATGAAATATGATGAAATGAAATAATGCAATATCACATTAAAATGGCTGTTTTTAATTTCACTCTTTGTTTAGATTATAATTCTAATTATAAGATCTAAGTCTAGATCAGGGACATGGACAAATAATATCCATGCATAAAAAG